TTGTTCGTTTGGTTTATGGTGAAAGCAGCCAACACTCGATACCAGCCAACGAATCTTTTCGATGGCATCAGATTCCATTTTCAGTAACAGCGAAAATTCAACAGGTGTAGGAGCCGACCATGCAGCTGCCCTTGCTCGGGAAGCCTTTTCGGCTTGCAAAGAGGTGGCCTCAGTTGCTAAACATGGTGAGCTTTTTGCAGCTCATCGTGATGACTCTTTCAGTGAAAGGTTTGTTTATTTCCATCCTCACTCCTTTCCATCTTCTATGTTTATTTTCCGAAAGAATTTTTTTGGAAGTGAGAATAAATACAAGAATTACATCTGGGGTTTAGCTGAAGTTCAAATTTTTTGCAGTCTTCCAAATTTACAAATTTTGTATAACAATAAACCACCTTGATTTATTTGTTTAGTCGAACTTTCCTCTTAAGGGTGGAATGTGTATAAACGCCGAGTGGGGTTTCTGCAATTATGAAACAGTTTTTTTCCCCCCATTTTTTTGTTATCTCTCTCAGTTGATATTATTAGCCTAAAAGCTCGGGTTCTTAGACGTTTGGCTGGTGTTCCTTTTTAAAGAACTGTTAGGTCAACTCGTCTATTCGAGAGGCAAAATAAGAAGAGAGTGCCTAAACCAAAATTCGAGCTTCATGAGACCAACAATCAAAAGAATTCAGAACTGCATCAAAGTCGAAAAGTTAATGGAGGATTTGACCCAAAAGATCCTGTTACACGTTTCTTATCTCGACCGGGAGCAAGACAGCTTTTAACTGTACAAGAAGAGTCCAAACTAGCAGAAAAAATACAGGTCACTATTTGCTGACTTTTCTCTAAGATAGCCTTTTGAGTATGAAGCTGATCTTCATAGCAACTGTAAGCATCTTTTTTNNTTTTTTTAAACCAGGAGTTAATGCAACTCAATGAAGTGAAAAGTAAGCTACAAACTCGAATTTCCCGCGAACCTACATTACGCGAGTGGGCTGAGGCGGCTGGGACTAGCTGTCATGCCTTGCTGTCACGGGTTCAACGTGGGTATAGAAGCCGTGATCGGTTAGTTTTTGCCAATTTCCGATTCGTTGTTCACATTGCTAAGAAGTTCCAAGGGCATGGTCTAAGCCTTCAGGATCTCTTGCAGGTGAATTTTGAAGATTTGCATTTCTTTAAGGACTGATTTGTCCATTTCAAAAATTAGTATTTGGGTTATTTTAAGTTGAAACCAATGTCATATTCATTCTGGAAATAAGTTAGCAATGTCATATATATAGTTTTTCTTAATGTCTTGCAAGGTATTATGATTTTACTTCACAAGGCACTGTTCTTTTGTTGTAGGTGGGAAGCATGGGTCTGATGAGGAGTGTAACGAAATTCAAGCCCCACTTAGGTTTCAGATTTAATACCTACGCGTACTATTGGATAAAGGAGTCAATTTTGAAGGCCATATATAAGGATTCTAGAATAATCCGCTTGCCTGTAACACCCCTCTTACTAAATATTTCCCATTTCGATTTAAATTCTACGTTCCCAGTCCTCATGTCATCTGTATATTCTCCATGTCTTCTTGTTCATTTTTAAAATTCAATGGAAAAATAGTCCAAATCGATATATATGTATATATATCATGTTTCAGGTGAATGTTTATGGCCTCCTATTCAAAGTGAATGCAGCAAAGAAAGAAATCATAAGACAAGGTAACTTCCACCCCAAAAACGAAGATATAGCGTCTCTTGTTGGAATTCCTGTTGATCGGCTAGAGACATTATTGTTTTATGCTACTCGAGTCCCGCTTTCAATTGAACGGCCTATCTGGATAAACAAAAGAATTGCATATCAGGTAAATTTTGTTTTGTTACTCTTTAGTGTTTGCATGTTTTAGGCATTTCTTTCAGAGGGTATGTTGAATATGATGAAAACTCCACTCCCCATTTTGTACTGTGCAATTACAGTTCAACTCACCTGTGGATTAATTCTTATCTTATCTTATTCTTAATAATAATAATAATAATGATAATAATAATAATAATAATAATTAATAATTATAATTTTATTTTATTTTTATTTTTTTTAATTTTTAATCTCTTAAAAGGGGGAGTTCTTTCTTGAAAAAGTTGGATTACCGAAAAAGCCCTTCACTATTTTCTAAGGTTACTAATGTAAATTTTATCATTTATAATGTTAGGGACCTACAATTAACATTCAATTAACATTCAATTTTTAATAAAATTTTGTTTTTCAATAGAATCAAATTTAAAAATAGTGGAATCAAGTATTATATTTTTAAAAATGATAGAAGCCAAAGTATAATCCTCCTATATAACATATAACTTCTTAATTTAAAATACTTATTTATTTAGTAAAAGAATATATAATTACATAATATAAATAAACTTTATAACTTTAAATTATTATAAAAAATATGTTCGATCATATATTTAATTTATCTCATATGATTAATTTAATTAATCAATAAATGAATAACATTATTCTTTGTGGTTAAAAAGTATGAAAATAAAATTTTCAAATAAATTTTTATATCATGATATAAAATAATAAATTTTTATATTTTATATCATTACATCTATGAAAATAAAAAGTATCTAAGTATTAAGATTGAGCTTGCAAGCATACCTCATATTTCAGGTTTTATATGCTATCGAGCAAATTACAAGTTTTATATGTTATCGATCAAATTTAGTAAAAAAAGAAAAAAATACTCTCCCACTATAACAACACAATCAAAACATATAGCAAGAAAAAATATCCAAACAACGTTAATTAGTTTTGAATTAAGATACATTCAATATTTAGCATATAAATACATTTATATGTATTATTAAAGGTGAACTTAAATATATTATTCAGAAATTTTTTTCTTAATAAGTTACAAAAGAATAATATTTTATTAATAGAATATATATATTTTATTTTACTTAAGAAAATATATTTAAAATAGAATTTTACATTTGTGTATAATGCATGATTACTTTTGTCTTAAACATTACACAAATATGTCAAAGATAACAATAACAGAAAACATCCAAACGACATTGATTAACATTGAATTAATAATTAAATCTAATCGGTACAACCAACCGTGACAACGAAGATACAAAAATATTACATCAATAAAAATAACGATAACAATGATCATGATTCCATGATTCCAAACAGAATCATAACATTGATGAAGACAACATTAATTATTGATTCATTTTGGGTTTTAACACAAATTTATTTATTTATTTATATTTAACTATAGTCTTGGGTTTCATCTCTAGCCTACTCCAACTTGCTTGGGACTAAAAGGTTATGTTGTTGTTGTTGTTGTTATATTTAACTATAGCTTTTATATCCATTAAAGATTATGTTTCGGTGCCTACATTTATATAATTTATTATATACTAGTACAACGCCCGTGTGTTACACGGGTACTTGCTAATTTTTTCCTTAAAATTTGAAATTAATGAGAAAAAGTAGTTGAAAATTTAAATACCTTTTCTTAAAATATATATATTGTTATATATTTAGTATGACACTTTTTATTTGTAAGACTTACTTGTGTTATATTATAATAAATTTTTTTAACTTACAACATATAACTACATTAAACATAAATATATCAACTGTAAAATAATTTTATTTTTCTAATAAATATTAATAAATATTTTTATTTATTATTATTATAAAATAAATATAATTTATTTAGTTTATATATACAACATGGATGTCAAATCGAAGATCATGAAAATATGATTAATTTGATATATTATATATGTAAAACCGATAAGAAATACAAAAGTTATTAACTTTTAAAATACATTTATAATTCAATAGCTAATTGAAGGAAACAAATCAAAAGT